TAAAACCCTCGCAAATGAAATGTCAAAATTTGTATTGAAAGCTATTTGCACAAAAAGGGCAAGTTTGCGCTGAAATTTTGTCGCGCAAATTTGCGCAGTGTGATGTGCAACCCTAATATTTCATAACAAGCTAATTAATTCGATTATTTGTTTTCTTTTTTTTTAACTCCTTTAAATTAACTGATTTTATGAATTAATACATTTATTTGCAATTTTTTATGGAATCGGCATTGGTACCTGAAAAAAATGGAAACGGTCGGACTCTACCTTCCAACCCGTAATCGACCCATTATTCTCTGAATTTTTTTACTGGATAATTCTTACTGACTTTTCAGCGAACACAACTAATGATATAAGTATTTATCGGATTAAGGGCCAGTTGTTCAATGTCTGGTTATCACTACCTGCCGGTTAGACTTCATTATCGACGATTTCGACATCATGCATATAACATGTGATCGATAAAGCAGTCGTTGTATCTAATCGGAGCTTCTACCTCCGATTTGTGCTAATCAGACATTGAACAACCGGCCCCAAATAACGTCATAGTTAACATATACCCTCAGTCCTCTGGTCCTCCATCATCGTCATCTATGTACTTCTAACAGTCCTGAATGTTTAAAGCTTCTGAGCTGTTATCAAAGTCACAACTTGAATTTTCAAAACCATAATTACTTCTAGCCCCGGACATAACAGTTATAAGTTTTATCGAAAAAACGTTGATCCGTAACAGTTATTGGATAAGAAATATTTTTAATTTCGCGATAAGGGTTATAGCACAATTTTTACTTCTTACGTTGCCTGCTAACTGTTATGCAGGAGAAATAGGTTTTCCGTCGCCAATAACAGTTATTTCCCAAAGTCAATTTTTTACGTTGTTTCATAACAGTTATTTCCCAACGTTAATTTTTTACGTTGTTTCATAACGGTTATTTCACTCCTCCACTTTTATTTTCATCACATTTATCTTCATCTTCGTTATTGTTCTTATTTTACAACGTTTATCACGTATATCATATAAACGTTGGACAATAACAGTTGTCAAATACATCAAATGTTGGGATCCATGTTCTTAAAAAAAAAAATCTAATTGCGAGTAAGTATATTTTGCAAAACAACTTTTTACTTTTTTTGATATTTGAATACTTCACAACTTATTTAATAAAACTTAAACATCAACAGCTGTCTAAGCACTTGCCGACTGTCATTAGTACTTAAGCGGGTTTCACTGTATTCTCATCACGAATTCATATATTCATGTGGTAGCAAGAGTATGAAAACATAAAATGACCTTATAAAGTAAAACCATAAGTATCACATGTATGCGTAGTCCAATTCATCATTTCATCGATCTGAGTAAAAACTAAGTGCATAAACTCTATTTCGCGTTAATTGTAATCATGAAATGGTGTTCATTCATTCAGTTTCTACTCAAAGGCATGAAATGATTTCATGAATTGGCCTACGCATAATGGAAGGAAATTGTCAGAATGAATTACAACAAACACATCCCTTTAGACATAATGCAAGCCGAAAACGTTGGTTCAAATCAATCCGCAATCAAGTTGGACGTTTTGCCCCACAAACATTGCAATTTTGCGAGCAGTCTCATTCGAAAATCTCATTTTTATTTTTATTTCATAGTTTCGGCTTACATTTATGAAATTCAACGAAAGCACGTAACTATTTCGGCTGAGTTATTCATTTTCGGTTATTTAGTGTACAAAATAAACGCAAATTAAATGAGTTTGTACAACATGGCCATTAATGTAGCGATAAGTTGTACAACTTGACAGAAAATCAAAATTTTTTGATCGTTCATACATACCACGACATAAATTCATTCCACAGGCCCACAAACGGTGCAATCTAGAGCAAAACAACACCAAGTTGAACCAACGGTCGCTACGTTTATGGCTTTCTTTAAGAAACATCGGGCGAAAATTTCAACTGCTCCTGTAACACTACCTTACTGGCCGTCTCCACAGGATAAAATTTATTGCTGCCCAGCAGTCATTTTGGTCGCTAGATATAAGTTATATCAGTGGCGATATTTGTGTGGGCTTTTTATATCTTGATATAAGCATTTGTAAAAACGTATTTTTGCCGGATTTAATCGCATAAAAAATTTAGAAAATAGGCTATTTTACATCCAAATACATAATTACAAATATTTTAACAGGAAACAGATCAATTTTTGCTTTTATATTAAAATAGTAATGATGTTGCAGCCTCGAAGTTTTCGTGCAAATGAAAATGTAGCTGTCAAACTACCAAATTGCCGGCAATAGATGGCGAGATATAAGCTCTGATATATATTGCTCTCGAAGAGCAATGAGCGGTCTCCATTGGCAAATTATATTCTGACATATGTATCAAGATATAAACTTTATCCTGTGTGGGCCTTGCTATCATCCTCATATACATATGTTCATCAGAGTATACCAACAAAGGACGAGTTAATACAAGGAGGTAGCGAGAGCACAAAACTACTCAAGAAAATTACACGCACAATGACAAAGATGAACAAATGTACAACAACCACATAATTTTTGAAAATCAGTACAGTTCGCATTTATGTATATCAACGAGCAGCTTATTAGATTTGTTTTCGTTTGTACTACATACATATGTGCATATATACATATGTACACAAACATATGTACTCAGGGTTCTTACGAATATTCGCATTCGCATTCGCAACTGCGGAGCTTCCGCATTAATTTTAACATTCGCATTCGCTTTCGCATTCGCAATAATCAATGCGAATATTTTGCGAATGCGAATATTTTGCAAGTGGACCGATGAAACGTATATATGGCAAACAAAAAAAAATTACATATTGTAGCCAATATTTTTGCCTGTGGTCGTAGGGGTATTTATGTAACAAAATTGGTCAAATGTCATATTTATCAACTTTGATAAAAATGTCTTTAAAATATTATTTCTTAAGCTATATAACCGAGCTATCAATGGGCAGCCATACAATTTCCCACTTCTACTTGACCTTTGACGTACGTCAAAGAGAACATAGTCCTGTTAATAATATATTTTTTCTGTGCTTTAAATACCTGCTTTGGCTTCGTGATTTGCTTTTATGTTATAGGCGGCATACACGGTGCGTCTGACTCGTGAGTCGGTTTGGATGTGTTTGTGAAAATAAATATGTGTTAGTTACACCAACATGACTCCCGGCACGACTCTGAATGATTCAACTGTGTGTAGTCGAAGGCGAGTCAACACGTACACAAATGACTCGCGAGTCAGATGTACCGCGTATGCCACCTATTACATAAATTCGTTTGAATAATTTCAAATGGGGCTCTTTGGGGAATTTATTTTTAGCAAAAATTTTAAAAACAGTAGTTTTGTTTACTTGTTGGATAATATTTTTATTTTCATAGGGATATACATTGAATCCTTGGCTAAAAACTTCTGTGGTAAAACTGACCCTTCCTTGCTATTTAAAGTCAATGAGTAAGCTCCCTCAATAGGGATTTCCAGTAGAAATGATCAGCGTCTAGCTATAAAGAGAATCGCTGCTCAAATAATTAAAAAACTATAGGTCTGACCTTTAATTAGATAAGAATTACGTAACTTTTTGTTATTCAAATGCTTATAAAAAACGGGGTGGTTTAAAAAAAAATTACAATATTCTGATCCGATTCGGCTGGCAGCCACGACTTTGAAAACAGAATTTTGTTCAAAAATAATAATTTATTTTCCATATCCATCTATTTACCTGGCTATAAGCACAAATTTTTCAGCCCAGTCGCAGAAGAAAGTATTAAAAATGAATTACAAAAACTAAAATCGAAAAGTGCTCTAAAGTTACAGGTTCTCCAAATTCTGAAACAACATCACATATTTATCTGGTTTGGCTTGTAAGCGCTGTTTAAACAACGATCGCGCCATTATGCTAGATTCTAATTGTTTTTTAAAAATACTTGACATCCGTATTCGCATTCGCATCCGCGGATGTTAACTGTTAGATATTCGCATCCGCATTCGCATCCGCGGATGTCTAAAATTCTACATCCGCAACATCCCTATACAACCATTCAAACATATGTACATACATACATGAAAACATTGCTGTCTAGAAGTACATTCATACGCCCATCAGTACATCAACGAAGCCCGTTTGCTTCATGGATGTAGTTTCGCGAAACACGCTTGCATCATTTATACATATATTGCTTGGTAGCGGCACAGCTGAAATGCGCAATGAGTTCGTTCATACATGCATATATATATATATATGTATACATACATACGTGCATTCAAACATACATATATACATATGTAGAAACTCGTACCCGTCATGCGTCGCTTTATTTATTTTTTCCCCTTCCCTATACTACCTAGATCTTCCTTCTCACTCATGTAACGTTTTCAGTTTTAAAAATTTCACTCTACATTTTTGCGATACTTCCGCCTAAGAAGTTTCACTTCAATAATTCCATCTAAAAAAGCGCTGTACAAAGAAAAAAAAGCCAATTTTGATTTCGCGTAAAATGAACTATTCGTTTATACGGGTTTTCTAACACATGTGAGAAATAGAAGACCGATTTGAAAACCAAATCGAGTCAATACAGTTTTCCATTTCAACGTGTATTGGAATTTTGTTTACGCATACATATGTTTAGAATCACACCGAACTCAGTCGGTATAAACAAGGTATAAATCCTCTTTTATTTTTATGAATAAGGCCATTACAATGCAGTAAAGAAATCAGTAACTGGGTCACAACTGCTGTTTAAATGCCTCCACTGACTTAAACAAGAAACGTTCCCGGCTGTGAAAATAGTTAAACAAAACCGTCATGACGAACACTTCGATACAGCTGCCATGCGCGGCGCAAAGTGTCGGCGCAGTCAATAGTCTAGTTACCACACTG